TGGCTTTGCAGCGGGAGAGGCAGGAGGGAAGCGGCTGCTGCTTCCAGCGCCGCGTTGTCCTCGCTGCTGCTTCGAAGGAAGGGTTTGCAAAGCCCGCTCTGGCCGTGCTGAGCGCCTGCGCCGCGTGCGTCTGCGTCGCGAGTGGAAAACGCAACGCGGTCGGGTGCTCGGCGCTGCGTCTCGCCTCGCTCCGCAGCGCTCAGCGCATCAAATAGCTCCGAAAGTGGCAGATGTGGTGATAAAGAATCAGAAAGTGTGTTTTTCAGGCCTTTATCTCTATAGGATTTTTGCTTGTGTGTTTCCTGCAAGCGGTGAAGATAACGTCCTGACTGACAGAGTTCAAGGCAGAAATGCAGTGAAAGATAAGAAACCCTGAACACTAAATGAAACAGTGTTTTATTATATGGATGGCTTGCAGCTTTTCCCCCTAGGGCAGGAAGCGCTGGTGGTGTTTGCATATTTTTGGTTTGTTACAACACACTTCTTGTTTATGAAATAGCATATGCTTTGGCCTCATTTTCAGCATAAGTGTTCAGGTTCAAGATTTTTTTTTCAGGCTTTATTGCCTTTATGGGATCATGTTATGTAACGCAGCATTTCTCAGCCTTAGTAACTGCTTACCCTTTTAAAAGTGCACCTGAGGGGCCATCCTCTCAGAAAAATACAAAAATAACCTGCTGGCCACCTTGTGCAGCATTGCCTTGATGGTTCTTAATTTACTGCCAAGTAAAACATAGGCTAAGCCTAAAGTGTTAAGTTTTACTGGCTTTTATTTGTGTACTTGAGGAAACCTGGATGTAATGGGAGATTTGTTCCTGGGAACCATCTTTTGCTGTCTTGTGGGCTGGCAGATTAAGAAATCTTGACATAGGTAAGGTAAGAGCTTTGACTTGTTCTTTAGCTGCTGTTGAGGCATTCGGCAAGGACTGCTTTTGAGAGTCCCCGCTCCAGCTGTATTTCAGATGCTGGATTAACTAGGTTGTTGTTCTCAAACGTTTTTTTTTTTTCACTCGTCTGTCTGGGTTTCTACTGCTAAAAGCAACGTTTCTTTTATTTGTTACTTGAGGAAACCTGGATGTAATGGGAGATTTGTTCCTGGGAACCATCTTTTGCTGTCTTGTGGGCTGGCAGATTAAGAAATCTTGACATAGGTAAGGTAAGAGCTTTGACTTGTTCTTTAGCTGCTGTTGAGGCATTCGGCAAGGACTGCTTTTGAGAGTCCCCGCTCCAGCTGTATTTCAGATGCTGGATTAACTAGGTTGTTGTTCTCAAACGTTTTTTTTTTTTCACTCGTCTGTCTGGGTTTCTACTGCTAAAAGCAACTGGCAAGGACTGCTTTTGAGAGTCCTCGCTCCAGCCGTATTTTAGATGCTGGATTAACTAGGTTGTCGTTCTCAAACGTTTTTTTCACTCGTCTGTCTGGGTTTCTACTGCTAAAAGCAACGTTTCACCTGCTTTGCTTGGACTGTTATATTAGCCTTTCCTTTGCTTGGAAACTGTTGCTATCCAGTCCTGAAACTTATATGAAGTGGCCATGTGTTGCTAAAAACACCTCACAGTTTCACGTGCTGCCGCTTCTTTGCGGTCTCTCCTTAGCACTAAATACATTTTGGTATCAGACTTCCCTGAACCTTCCAAGCAGCTTGTTCACCGCCCAGATATTTCTGTTTCCTAATGCCTTAATGCCTTAGTCAATGGTGAGTTCATCTTTTGTAGGGATTCCTAGTAATTATTGCTCATTTGCTGTTTATAGACTCATGAAGCTGCATGAAGGTTGTGTTGCAGGTGTCTGGCAGACTGGGATTTAAATCATGGGCTGAGAAACTAGGTTTCCGATCGGGCAAAAGGTTGTTTTTCCTCAGAGGTTGTTTCTGCGGCCAGTACTCTGTCATTAAAGATGAGTCTGGCCGCTGAGAGTTACCCTGTGCTTCTCTGACCAGGCTTTCAAGCCACTCTTGCGTTCCTGTTAAATTGGTGCTTACCCACGAAGAGCCTTCGAGGCAGGAATTCGTGTCCAGCACCGTTTGCTGTCGCTGCTGCCTGGCTCGGTCCTTGGGAGGCAGCTGCAGATGCCCCTTTGCGAGCAGATGCCACCTGGTAGCGTTTCACCCTCCGTGGTATAACCTCATCCTGTGCTCAAAAACGCCTGATCCTCTGGGCAAAACACTGGGGCAGGGGGAGCACGTGGGCCAGCAGGTACTAACTATCTCCCGCGCAGGTGCTGGATGCGACCAGCCTCTCCTGGCTGCCAGCGACTTGCCCCTCTGGACAGGGGAGACCTGGTGCACTGGATGCCACAAGGAGGAAGAGCCACAAATCGCTCATGCACAGTGACCGCGAGGAAGCAGAGATGGTTTCAGGAGGGGGCCGAGTGGCAGGGAAAGGCCCTGGTTTGCTGTTAGCCTAGGACTGGTGTTAGTCTGGAAAGCAGGTACAGGCTGAAACTCCTCCTCTCCCCATGGTGCCCACCCTGCCTGTGTCCCCTTCCTGCTGCACGTGGGAGCTGCACAAATGAGCCGGCCTTCCTTCCAGGCCTGCCATGTGGGAGATGGTGACGTATGGGTGAAGAGAGGAGCCCACTGTGAGAGAAAAAAACCCCCAGCCCACTGCCCAGGGAGCGTTTGCGTGACAGGGAGGGCAGCAGAAAGAGCTGAGGGGACAAGAGCAACAGCACGGAGGAGAACGGCCTGACAGGAGAGTTGTGCAGAGGGAAGGGAGCCGCCACGTTAGCCAGGGCCCGTGTGTGGCGGTGTTTCACCCCTCGGTTGTCCACCTTGTACCTATGTGCAAAGGGGTTGGGATGTTGGGACGTGTCACTGTGAACCGAACGCCCTCCTCGCTGCTTACTCAGCGCTCGCAGCCGCTCGTGTGCGTCTGTCCCGGCGCCTTCGCATCTCGTCCCGCTGGGCAAACCCAGCCCTGCCCGTTTGCCTCATGCCAGGTCTCACACCCCTCCCGGGTGGGGTGACATCCGCGGCTGCCGCTCCGCTCCCGGGTTCGCGGTGCCACCAAGCAGCTGGCACGGCCTTGGCATGCCACTGATCCGCGTTTCATCTTAAACAGCCGCCTTGGGTATTGCAGACTGAAGATGGAGATAGATATTGTGGGGCAGGGACGGTTTTTCTTTTGTCTTTGAAGCATCACCTCTTGCAGGGCGTCTGTTTGACGTGTGCTGAGGCTCAGCTGCTCCGTGGGCAGGAGATTGAGCACAAGCTGAGGCTGCGTGGGGGGCACAGGGAGCGTGTGCTGCGTGGCGTAATGGGGCAGGAAGGTTGGGCTCACAAGTGGCTACTGCCATGTGGTCTGATGTTGCCTCCTTGCTAGTGTCATGAAGTGGGTCGGTGTTGCTTGGTGGTGGCTTCAAGGAGCTTTGATCAGGAGAATCAGCTCTTGATGCTGTTTTTTGTACTCCTCTTAGAGGTGATTTTTGGTCTGCAGGGCATGCGCAGGCCTCTGAGTGCCACCAGCCCTGGCTGCATTTCCTTTTAGATTGTCACTAGCCACGTGGCTTAGCGAGCAGGCAGGGAGGGAGACCGGTAAAACCTTCTTGGCCATGTATGGCCTAGAGAGCTGTCCCACTTCTATGCAGGATTGGGCGCCCTTGAGGAGGAAGGTGCTTGACCCAACCTGAGCCAAGCGTGGCTCTTCCCCAGCCTTCCCCTTCGCCTCTGCTCCCGCAGGCACCTCTTCCCGGGGGCATCGTGACCCATCTCCCCAGCAGTGCCCTTCTAAGCTGAGCAGGGGATGTTTGGAGTTCTCCAAGGGTGACTCCCATCTACTTCTGAATAATATAGGGGCATTTGCAGCCCTTGAGCCTTAATTATTCTTGGAGTGACGCTATGACGGATTGGTTCAGGCTTGAATCGGTTGCCTGGTACCAGCAGGCCTGGTACAAATGGTACTTGCCCCCTGTTTCAGTGTAGGGCGTGCTGGATGCTCTGACGTTCTCTCTTCCAGTGTGATTCCCTTCGAGTGACGTGTTTGTCTAACATGGAGATAGAGAGCAGCTGAAGATTATCTACAGATCTCATTGTAGGGCCCTTTTAGGCCAGCTGAGACACGGCCTAATCCATAGGCTGCCTTCCTCAAAGGATGCTGAGTCTCCAGGAATTTTTTTTTTTTTTTTAATCTTGAACCGGCTTTGGGTTGGGTAAGTGGATTAGCAAGCTGCTTCTCTCTTTAAAGGGCTGATTCAGGCTAGTGGAAAGCTTAATTGCCACGCTGTTAATCTTTGGTTTCCTTACCTTGCAGAACACCGCGAAGTACAGTGCATGCAGGAGGATGAGGTGGTGGGCTTGGAAGCAAGCACAAGAAATAGCAGTGAGCACCCAAATCCCGGGGCTTTCACAAAAATTGTGTCTTTTTCGAGTGGAGGAGGACAATCCTGCCTACAGTGCTACATTTCCCCTTAGGTCAGGGCAGCTGAGCACAGACAAGTGCCAAGAGCCCTCGTGAAAAAAGAGGAGTTTACAAAGCAGTTTGGAGCAGTCCAGGCTTAGAGACTGATCCCTTCCTGTCCTGCCTAGGGTGGATGAAAGCCCAATATTTCTTTAAGGTGCTGGGTGTTTTATCCAGGCCGTCTTTTTGTCCCCCTCTGTGCTGAGAGGGCAACTGCTTCATTCCTGCCTTCCTGCTCGGAAGGAGGGCAGGCAGTTTCCTCACCTCGCTGTTACCCCACTTGTGTTTCAGGTGACACGTAGCTCCTGGTGAGATGTCACACACCTGGCTCTTTTTCTTTACTCTTTTTTGTAATTTTTATTTTCCTTACAGTTGGAGTAGGGGAAATCTTGCAATCCTGTGGGATTTTATTCCCTTTCCTGGGCCTGACCTGTAGAAAACCCTTAGATAAGTTGAGCGCTTTAGGCATAAGAAAAAGGATCACTTAGAAACAGCCCAGCACCCTCTCAGATTCTGTGTATCCCCCAATCTGCCTTTCTGTCTCTGCCCCTCTGGGGGCGTTTTATGCCCCCAATTGGCAGTTAAACTGGAGCTGCCCAGGTTGATGTTTTCAGGCTTCTTCCACTTGCCTCTGCTTCCAGCTTGCTTTCTTGAGCATGAAAGGATGGCAAGGATTAGCCATAGCGTGGAGCAAGCCGTTCCTGTGCTGTCTCCTCCCAGGATTTTGTGGGATTTCTGGAACAGAAGCAGCAAGAAGGTTTCCTGTCCTAAATTGCCGTGAACGGCTTATTCTTTGCTTTATAAATTGGCAGTGCTGATTAAGAACAACTACCTTGGTCTTAACCCCTCAATTTACCTGATAATGGAGGAGGACTACGTGCCCCACGTTGCATTGGCTTGTCAACATCCAGGAAAATCCTGGCAAATTGAGTGTGAATGAGTAATATCCTCGCTCTCTGGCTGGGGTGATTTCCCCAAGAGCTTGAGGGCGGGAGGGGAAGCAAAGCTATTTCTGTGTTGGGCAACTTCCTCTTCCAGCCCGTAACCTACGTGTGGGAAAGCCAGAGCTCAGTTTGCTTTTGCTTTTTCTTTTCTTTTTTTTTTTTTTTCCTCCTCCCTCCTCCCTCCTCTCTCTCCAGGGCTCGCGCGCGGCTTGCTGAGCTGTTCAGGGTGATGCAAGAAACCCTGGCTTTCAAAATCGCCTTTAGAACAAATGTTTTCTTGCCAGGCGGCTCTCTGGGGCCGGGGAGAAACTGTTGCAGTTGCTGCGGTTCCGATTAAATCAAGCAAATGTCTGCAGTGCAGCTGGTTGAAAACAAGGAGTTTCTTTGAGCCCTGCAATCTTTGTTGGCGCTGTTATTGCTTTATTGGTCCCTTTAGCAAGCTCTAGCTCTCACCTATGTGTTGTGCTGCCAGCAGGGACGTGCTAGATGAGAACGTGAGCAGGGACCTGGCTCCTTTCTCTTGTGACAGACAATATCCAGTATCTTGCGGGGCTCAGTCTTGGTACAAACATCTGTGGTTCTGTAATTGTATC